AGAACATATTTTGAAGAAGCGGCCATTCTGACCAACATCACAGTAACTTGGATAGATACCCAGCATATTTGCAGTTCATCGACTGCGTGTGTCAAATAAGTCGACAGGTTCCCATTGCGTTTAACGCACACTTTCTATCGATATCACGGTTTTTCGTTACTTATACCTTTGTACATTTAGCATATTTTCATTTAGCGGGTATATGAAACATCGTTGTACGTTTATTATAATCATCGCAGTCATAGATACAGAGAGATGTGGAATAAAAACTGTCTCGTTATGATTCTACGTGAGTAGAGCCAGTTTTTATCGTACCAGTCTGTTTGCAGATTGTTCTAATGCAACTCGTTAGCATGAGATGTATCAAAGCATGGAAAAGTTTGTATCGTTGATATTCACACTCATTGCAGTATGCGACAGTTGGTATGCAAAACATTGTTGTGACTTGTTTTTCACGGGTGAACTTGAATCGTTGTTTATGCGTTTTTTAAATCGTCTTCTCCAGAAGTTTTGTTTATTTACGAACAAGAAAACTGTTAGTTTCAGGAATATCTCGAAAAACAACTCGAAGGAGGTCGCCGTGAACAGGCTACTCGTGGAAATCGATCAATGACGTTACTGGCACTGCGTAGGACATATTGCTTCCTTTGCTCATAGCACAACAAACATTTTTTCGTATCTTTCAGTGATGTGAAATTATTTGTATATAAGCACTTCGAATCACTTCGCTACGTACAAAACGATAGTTGATAAACAAAAACATTTGCATCTTTTGTGCGAATGATTTTATAAATTGATCCTCCTCCCTAAGTTTTTATTATGAAATATTGAATAAAATTGTGAATGTTTCCTGAAGCAACGAATCACATTACGCGCACAGAGTATCGTATTAGAACGAAATGTTTGGAAATTCCGACTGCTTGTGTAATGTGTGCGGTCGCACGAAAGAGCGACTTCTTTTCATTAGTTTACTAATTAGAAAGCTTGGAAATATTTATCACTATATATTTATTTATTTCGTTCTTTTCTGCCAATGATTGTACAGATTGTACAGAATGATTGTACACATTTATTCTTGTGGTAATAGCTTTGTTAACATTTCATAACATTGCTAGAGTTAGTTAGTTGGTGTCATTGACATCGCTTTTGCCCTTACGTAGCCCCATGGAACAGATTGACTAGTATTACATCAGGTGGCCTATCTAAAAACTAATTTTCAGTGCATAATACGTTTCTTTTAATATCTTTCAACACTTTCACGAAGCTAACTCCCCTTGCTTAAGGTATTTCCTCTTATAACTACTTAACTGTGCAAACTAAAAAAATATTTCAGACAAAGCTTGTAAAAATGATATAAAAGATTAGGTTGTTCGCGAACCAGGGTTCCTTGCAGGTTTTTCATCTTCGTAATGAGTAACAATAAAAAGATGTTGACCTCAACAAACATTGCCACTCAATTTTACAAGAACATTCTTTTACAAATCTCCACCAATCCTGAGATGTAGAATCACGCTGCGGTAGCTTTACGCTTGCTTTTTATACACCCTGTACATAGTACTTCAATCGTCAACAAAAATCCGAATTTGTAATTACTCGGTTGGAATTTACATACAGGATGGAGATCATCTTCGCAGAGAGAAGCCATTGATAATCATTCGTCAAGTCGGAGACTTCGATGGGCCTGAAGTGTATAGCAAAAAGTTTGCCGATGAGAAGAGTCTCGTCGTGCAATATTTTATCCACCATCGTGGCTACATCGCGTTTACTGCAGGATGCTGGTAAACAAAGTCCAAGCGTGATCAAATCCTAAAAAAACGCAATCTCTTAAATCTCTGATGGTCCATTAGGATTGTAAAGAGCTGTACGTGAATCTTATGGACTGTGTTAATCGAGTGCATCCTTAATCTGCTGTCTAAATGGGTTATATACTGATTGCAAGTAGCGTTACAGCTTGAATCATTGGAAATATAAATTTGAGATGCAACCTGTAAAATAAGAATGTGCTTACTTCGTCTTCTATTCCTACATGATATTGCACAGTGCTATAGTGCCGCATGCATGCAATAAAAAAACGAAACTCAAAGGGTGGATACTCCTCGTTCGGGTTCTGGTATATCGAATCGTTCTTTTGTTTTTCCTCCGAGATAAGCAGCGTGCGATTTACAGAGAGGTTGGTGCAAACTAGACGATCTCCTAACCAATAATTGTTTCCGTTGATAAATCCCTTAGATGGCACGCCACTGGTGTCCAATGCTTAAAAAATACATGCTACCATAATATACTCGAAACAGTTTGTGATAAAATTGGTGACAAGAATCTGAAGCGATGGGAGAATTAAGCGCACGGTTTGGACTTACGTATTTAAAACCATCAGTTGCAGTTGATCGGTAAAAGAACAACAACGGCGATCGCTGCTTCTACGCCCTTCGAACAAACAAATTAATTTGTTCTCAATCAAACTCAATTTTTCGCTTTGTTTTTGTGACACATCATCGATCCAAAACTATAATTTTCTACAGTTAAGACCTTTGTCGATCAAATACTCATAAGACTAAAATTTCAAAACCGCTTATTTTTGTTTTCTGGTCAAACTTAAAGATGGTATCTCGCTAGGAGTAGCCGTCCACATTTTATTTAGCAATTAAGTTAGGAAAATTTACCAAATGTCCAGTTGGACAAATTGTAAAATACAAATTAAACAATAAAAAAAGAAAGAAAATTTTTGTCTCTAATGATGGCAAGAGTTTTGCAGTTCGAATACTATACATTATTTAAACTTAATTACAAACTTGGAATAATTACGAACAGGAATATACGCAGATAATTTTAACTGTCCATAATTATGAGATTCGCAGTAAGAGACTCAAAAAAGCGATGACAGTTGACAATAAGATCTACGTCAACAGTGCAGCCGTCAATGTATTAAGTTTTTTAGTTTTCCTTGACGATTTTCTCGGCAAAAATGTCTGCTTTCGTCGAATACGCAAAAATTGAACAGCTTCTTTACTCCACGTTTGGTGGAGAAGATGGTATCTTAAAATGAGCTTCAGTGAGACTCTATTTTTTGAAGGTGAACTGTTCCTACCTTAAGTCTGGTACAGAGGCTGATGATTCGAAATCACAAATAGTACTGGACTAACCGTTCCTGTTGCCGATACCAATCCTCCGATCGACCTTTCCGTTTGAACGGTTACACAAGAATTCCGAAGCTACTTACACGGCATCCGTGCGCTGGTTGGTTTCACACCGAATGCAAAAAATTAACAATTAGCATTTTATGAGCAAATCATTCCTCAGTGTTCTTAGTCAGAATCCCGATACTAAGTTCGATCGAAGCGTTATACTCCGCTAAATTGAAAAATTATAAGATTTAGAAAATGTAAATGCATAGAAATGTAAAAACACTGCTACGTATGTACAATGGAATGGTTTTTGATGTTACAGTGTTCTCTGAAAATTTCGCTTTTTTGGACGGAACAAGTTATTTCGGCCCAATTATTCTTGTAATGTTGGCTAATGCGCCATCACATCCTTCCACAAGTGAATTTTTAGGAATTTTAAGTGAAATTGTAACGCATAATTATTTAGGTGATACAGTCAGAGATGCATATGGTAATTGATTCTTTTTAGACACGTTACGGGACAAATTTATTGCGTCGTGTATTATTATCTATTAATTACTGGCGATTATGGTATGGGAGTTTTGCGATTTTATAAAAGGTTAAGTTTAAAAGATTGTATTTCTTTGTTGTGCGAAACGTGAAAAGTCGTACCACACCACCCACACTTAATCGCGCTGAGAATATGTCATGTGACCAACTAAATGGCAATGCGAGCCAAATTAGTTTCATGTATTCTTTCTGCAGACAATATTGACATGAATGAGGACATGCAGATGCGATGGATTGGAATGATAACACAAAACGTGACAGATGGAATGCAATCATTTATTTTAGTAGGGATAATTTCGTTATATCTGTGACGGATTGTGTTATTCTCTATATCTGCTGTAGTTTTGATTCTGCTCGAATCAATTATCTGAGAAACAGCTTATAGAAACTTTTTTTATCTCTCAATTAGTTGGGATAATTGACGTTCTCAAACTCCTGTATTGCAAGTAGTTATCCGTGACATTTATTTCCTTTTACCCCATATCATTTATTATCTTTTCGACGGTTGTCCCCATGTCTCGTCAAGTAGAACATACTCGCCTGCTACGAATGACGCCCTATTTCGTCAAATAGTCAAAACACAGCATTTAGAACTCATATGTGTTGTACAATACAATGTAAAATAAAGATCAAATTCTGTAGGTGTATGTAGTATTCGGATAACAAAATATTATGCTAGAACAACACTTTGAGGTCGCTAACCGTAACTGAGAATCGCTTCTTACGAAAATAAGCTGCGAAGAGCTTCGGTTAGATACCTATTAATCCCTGACGTTTTTGAAATTTGGTATTTCTAACTTACTGTTTTGGTCAGTCTGTGTTCCATACTAATGTCCTGCATACTTTATTGTAGACCAAATTTAATACACCGAGGCTGAATTCCATCGTATACTTTATTTCATATTCTATATTTATATTACTATATTATTATATTATATTATTATATTATATGTTATATATTATTATTATATTATTATCCATTTATATAGATACATTTTTGCATTTTTTTATAGTTGAACCCACAAAATTCTGTCTCTCCTAGCATTAATAACGTTATGAAGCCATTGAACACTTATTCTGTAGCTTAAGAAATTAACAGTTTTCTGCAATGATCAGCGATTTGTGACTCTTCTCTCTTCTCTTTTTCTCTCACTTCTTATTCTGGCATGAATTTTTCGAGTCGCTATGTAACCCAGGTGCCAGTAGCAGTGGTCTCATTACTTGTAAAAAGGGAATGACTAATGACATTGAATCGAACATCCTCGCAAATTCTAGAACATTTAAATAATCAGCGTGTCTTATCGTTGCCAACATGTCTCGTCCGAGATGTTATCGGACTTCTTTTTCGGATAAGTCTGCGCTTACGTTCAAATTGACATACCGCATCAAACACTTAATATACCGTCCGCTTAAATTAAGTGTGACAGTTATTCGTACTGATAAATAATCTTTGTCAGCCTCCCTTCTTTGCAGCAAATAATCTTTGCTGCTACATCACTTTCTCGTCTCGAACACTATGTGCATTTAAATCCTGAATAATGGATTAGGTTTCGATCATTTTTTGCTCACTTCATGGTCTTGTAATGTAATCTTGTATCATTATCCACACGTTTTTTATTGTGTTCTCTGAGGCTTTGGTTTTTAACACGCAAGGCAACTGGCAGTGTTAGGTACGAAAAACAACTGCGAGAAGGTCACCTGTGTACTGCAAGGCAATGACTTTTTCTCCTTTTTCAATGATCTATATTTATTTGTATATGAACTTATTTTTTCGTCAAAATCACTTTCCTATGTACAATATCCTCGTCAATAAAGAAGAACGTGTAAGATTTTGCCGCAAGTGATTCCCTTAATTAATTCTTCTTCCCAGGCATTTTAATAAATTAAACAACATTATAAATAATGAGCCAGGAAACGTTATGAAACATTCAATTACATTAGGTTCAGAGATCACTGCCATAAAGATATGTTTTTCAATATTTCGACACATGAAAGGCCAAGTTCTTGTCATAAGTTTGATAATTGGACGACTGAGACTAATTTTTGCTACCACCTTCATTCGTTCTGCTTCGTGCACTAATATTCAATCGCAGAAGTGATATAAACGGCATTTCAGTTGTTGCGGATAACAGAACAGAAGCACTGAAACTACAAGTAATCATTGCAATGGAGTAAATGCCCTGAAAAGCAGAAACGTTATTACGTGATACTAATATTACGTCGAAATTGCCGGAATGAAATAGTTTCATTATACTTACAAAGGTGACGATATTAATGTATAAAACATAATAATTTAAAGAGTAAGCCAAAAGTATAGTAACAGGATTAAGGAGATAAGCACCATACGTTAATTTACTGAAAGGGACGAAAATATCCAGCGATAAGATTTTGTTCACGATACCTGCAAACGTAACAAGTATACTTGGGTGTAGCTCGCAAAACGTTAAATACTTCGCATTACTCAAAGAGTATTTTTACAATAACAAAAATGACATTAACGTATTACTGAGTGACATGAAAAATATCTACTTACCGCCATTATTCGTAGTGCATGCAACTACAAGCCAGGCAATACCTAATGCCCAGCATGTTCTACTGAGGGCCAAATAAAGAACGGAGAGACCTAGGGATATGTTCTTGTTCGTGAGTCCGAAGAGAATCGAACAATTACATAAAATTGCCAAGGACCAACCAACGATTAAGCTTTTCTGAAACATAAATTTAATCACCCTATTGAAAGATGCAGAAAAATATAAGTCTAACGAACAAACAGTATACATTACTTTTGAAAAATGCAATTTGTAATTCCATTTTGTAAGAAGGTGGCATGTGGCCATTCCTATGAGATATGGCGGTATTCTACACCATGGTCGTATATAAATCTCTGACATCGTTCTATATTGTCCGTCTAGTCTACGAAAGTTAATGTAACGTATATTTACAAATTCCTTATGTTATAAAGAATGTTAAACATTTTGTATGCTTACGTAGGCTGGTAATTAAGAGTGTATCCCGTGTAAACGAGTGATCCTATCGATGAGAGTAGCGTAACAATGCCTATGCCCATGGCGATATTGTAATGCCTGAAATAATTGATTTTAGAGACCAGGTACGACTAGACACTGAAGGATTAAAAATCGAAATTAGAAACTCACGTGATCGATAAAGTTAGAAGAAAACTGCCAAATACGAAGAACTGCATATCATTGGGCAAGTACCAACTCCATACGAGACACTGCAAACAGTACTTCTCTCCGAAACAATTCTTTTGTAATAACGCGAACGATGTTTGCAATAGATTATCTGAGAAAGTATACGTACTAGCTCATCCCATCTATAGAAGTTGTTGATGTAAAGTATGTTAGTCCACCAATATTTGGAACACTTTGTATGTGGATGCTCAGCGGGAAGAAGTACTGAGACATGATCGTCCCAGGTAAAATTCAATATCGTTATCAGTATGACAACGAAATATGCAGGTGTAAGCCTTCCAAGTTAATGTATTTATTTTATCATCGAAATCTCATCGATAGAATTAATCAAGCATTGATACTATACTATACCTTATATATCGTTTGACGATCTTTTGAAAAAATTCGTTCATCCTCTTTGCTATAGGCGGAATTCCATGATATTTTCGTCGTTCCTTCAGAAATGAATATGATAACAGAAAACCACTCATAAAGAAAAATGCATCCACCGATAATGTGAAGTTACTTATGATTTGCGACAGTATATGGTCGTCCATTGTATATACAAGCCATGTGTTACCTGTGTACATGAGTGACTGTATTAAAAAAATACATGGTAGATCAGAAATCGAATCGGAGTAGTAAAATTAAAACATCGTTAAAATTCGTTTCTTACTCATAACATGAAATCCGAAGAATAATATGTGCCCCAGAATAATCCATACCATAGTCACCGTTTTCAAACCGTAGAATAAGCGTAGTTTATCTTCACTCTTTTCCAGCTTAAATATTTCCTCTACATTAGTAAGAAATGAAAAGCACAGAAGATGTTGGCTGAAACGATTCAACTGCCCCGACTCGCGGGGTGCTGATTCCTCATTGTCGGTTTCGCGTTTCTCATCTATTCCGTTGTCCAATGCTGTTGGAAGTTAGTCGTACGTTACATAGATTCCCATGAAATAAACTCGAGGCGATAATAATCAGTAAGATTGGTAACGTGAGTGCAGTTTTAAGTAATAGTTAAATAATAGTTAATATAAAGTATCAACGTATGTGTAGCTTACGTATCGCGTTGTTACTTTCGAACGTAAGCTTTCCCCCTTCGTTATTCAAACGCTTTCGATATACGAAAACGTCGTACACTGTGGCCGCTATTACAGTAACACACAACGATAGCAAAACTCCTCTGTAATCATAATTTTAACGTTTCTAGGTGATATTTTATCGGATGCAGATCTTGACCTATGTAATATATATCTGAAGTGACAAAAATTCAAGTTTCAAATTGCGAGTTTGAAGTGTACGTACATGATGCAGATCATTTTCGCAGAGAGTAGCCATTGACCATCATCCACCAAATCGGAGACTTCGATCAGCTTGAGGTGTATATCAAAAAGTTTTCCAATGAAAAGTGTCTCATTACGAAATACTTTATCAAGCATAGTGGCAACATCGCCTATGCTGCAGGATGCCGGTAAGCAAAGTCCAAGCGTGATCAAATCCTAAAATGGATGCAGTTTCTCAATTTTCTGATCGTCCGTCGTGACCGTAAAAGTTCGCACGTAAATTTCATGAAATATTTTAATATTAATGATATCATCTATCAATATTATTTTAATGCGATAAATTCTTAATTGACTGCACAAACTGGCTATGCACTGATTGTAATTCGCATTGCAACTTGAATCGTTAGAGATATACAATCGAGATACTAATTCTAAAATATCCATTTGCTTACTTCGTCTTCTACTTCTATATGATATTGCACAGTGCTATTGTGCCGCGCACGTGCAATAAAAAAACGAAACTCAAAAGGTGAATACTCTTCATTCGGGTTCCGGTATATGGAATTGTTCTTTCGTATTTTGTCCGATAGCAATACCGTGCGATTTTCAGAGAAAAGCTTGCAACCTAGTCGGTCTCCTAGCCAATGGTTGTTCCCGACGACAAATCCTCCGGATGGTACGCCACTGGTATCCAATGCTTAAAAAACACATGATCTCTCATTGGAAACTGCTCGTGATACAATTGGCGATAAGGATCTGATGCGGTGTTAAAATTAATCGCACCGTTTGAAGCCAACAGCATCAGCTGATCGGAAAAACTATGACAACGACGATCGCAGCTTTTACACGCCCTGTACGAAGGAACTAGTTTCTTATGCAACGTATGAGGAAAGTCGCAAGGTCGGGAAATGGCTCGATAAAAAATTACGCATCTTACACAATCACAACGTAGCGTGATGGTACCGTGATCAGAAGAGTCTTCGCGGTTGCACAGGAGTTGTTTCTATTGTTTTTGATTCGAATTTTCCGCGGTATAAACGTGTTCATCGAGGACATGTCACGAAACACTATCGCAAACACGGTGTACATCTTTTTGAATCATGGTCGGTTGTACGTATTTCGTTTAGTTTGCTTCCTTCTTTCTTTTCGCTGTAATTGACTGAATTCGCGGAACCGAATTCGGCTATATATCTTAAAAGTTCTATTGACCTCTTAGAGCCCAAAGTATCTGGTTATTCACCGCATTCCGAAATTCATCTATCTCCGTCCGACATCTGCTGGAATTTAGAAGATCAGCATTTTCCAAAACCGCGTACACTGGAAGTATCTTCCTTGTGGCCATCGGGTCTAGTTCGGTCGCTTTTATTGACACGTAAAAGCTTGTTAAAGATAGCAGGGATAACCATGTCCACGAAATTCTTCCGCACTTCATACTTTGAAATGAGATTTACACTTGAATTATTATAATTGACTATCGAGGAATATCGGCAGCCACGTGAATGTATTTTGTTTTCTTTTTTGCAATAAAGCACGTTGCTGCTCTTTCGGTACTATGTGCGATCGTATATGCTGCTGTGTCGAACGGGGCTCGAATGGCAAATGAAGTTAGAGAGGCTCAACGGTTTCCGATAAGATTGCAGGCGACAATGCATAGTCGCTACAGGACACACCATTTATGATGTAAAATATCACAATTATTTTAATTGCTTTAGTTTTTCATATTATTTCTTCTGATCCAATTTTGTAATCCAGTATTAGTTATTTGAAACGTTTGCCTCCGATGTTCGTTTCTTTTTACCTTATATTTCATTTTCCAAGTGAGGTTCCGGAATTGTCAGCCAACTAGGTTCGGTCGATATAATTACTAATATGTTTATGATTAAAGCTTTTGACGCGGAAGTCTGAGCTAGCCTCCTTCTTGGAATTTCCATAATTTTATTGCTCATTGCTGCTATTAAAATGCGAGTGTGTTTAAATATATCGCTTTAAAATGCTTATTTCTTTCCTGGAGCCGCGGTAACTGAAAATCATCAATCTATTGCTTTATCTCGCGCCTTACATTTTTTTTGGCCGCGGTCAGGAAGTTATAGATTAGTTTTCCAGCTTAGATACCGGCTTTTTATGTATGGCGTTGTATTCGATCAAAAAAAAATCATAATTATAATAAATTCAATAATTACGCAATAATCTACGCCTTCTTTGACCAACTCTGTGGAGCATTAACTGAGCTGTTATATTATATTACAAAATTATTTCAATTCCGATAGTCTGACTATTCATTCCCAAGTGAACAGTATGTTGCAAACCGTTAAATATGATAACATAGTAGCAATTAAAAGCAACGTTACGAAATAGCATGAATATACGTCAATGATAACCAGTATCGGGAATAAACATTTCTCGAATTTAAGACAATAGTATCACAATGTATAAAGGTAATTCTACATTTAATTCACTTTCTTTTTCTGTGGGATTCTATCACCGAAGTGCAAATTTTTATAAAATGCACACAGTACACCTTCTTCCACGATTTATCCAATCAAAATTTCGCCTGCATGTCCAAAAGAAAGTAACGATCGTTCCGTTCGAAACGACCAAAACGTAAGAATCTTTCTAAGCAATTTTATGACGCCAGCTTCCGTGAGAAAGTTCCTTTTAGCAATGGTGACAACGTTTTTAATTTTCCATGTCTATCGTGTTCTCAGTACCCAAGCGTATCGTAAACACGGCTACTTCCGAATAGTAATTTAACTAATCGAAACGTGGCTGCTATGATGGCAGCACATGAAAGTAATGAAACTCCTCTGTAATCAAAATTTTTAAATTTCTAGTCGATTTTTCATTGGACGCAGATCGCGATATATAGCGTGTATGCCAATTAGTGACAAGAATTCGAACTTTCAATAACGAGCTTAGAATTTCGTAGGGAGAAGCCATTGTTGACCGTCCATCAAATCGGAGACTTCGATCAGCCTCAAGTCTGTAAAAAACGTTTTCCGATTAAAGAGTTTCATTATGGAATACTCCATCCATCATAGTGACGACATAGCGTTTGATATAGAATGCAAATAAGCAAACTCCAAAAGTCATCAAATCCTGATAAAAGCACAATGTCTCGAACCTCTGATAGTTCGTTGCAATCGTGAAAGGTCGTACATAAATGTCATGGGTTGTTTTAATGAGGTAAATTTGCTGTACAGATCATACTGATGATTACATATTGATTACAAGTAGCATTGCGACTCGAATAGTTGGATATATGGATTCGAGATGTAAACACTGAAATATCCGTAGACTTACTTCGTTTTTTGATTTTATGCGATATTGCACAGCGCTATTGTGCCGCATGCGTCCAATAAAAAGTTGAAACTCAAAAGGCGGATATTCCTCGTTCGAGTTCCGGTATATCGTATTGTTCTTTCGTACTTTCTGTCAGAGAAATGGCATGCGATTTTTAGAGATCTTGGAGCAAGTCTGACGATCTCCTATAACGCCCATTTAAAATCATGTAAAGCTACAAAATCCTTATCCTTACGAATTAGAAACTATTATTTTATATAAAAAGAGACTATAATTATATGTTTACTCTGGATGCAACTACTATAGGTAATATATAACAAAAATATATATCGGAGATGAAAGGACATCGGGACTTCCCATCTGGAATGGTGGGAAAACGCCCAATACCCTCGTCCAGACTTTTACTATAGTTAGACTTAAGCAATAAAAATAAGAAATAGTTTTAATGTTCCAATCTGGCTTCATGACGATCGGTTTGGGCTCGAAGTGACATAGCGGGTCACTGGACGTAGCCACGGTCACGGGAGGGACGTGTACCTGACAGAGGCATGGAATGACTATACGGCTCTCCTTAAAAACAAAGATTAGCCCGAGAGGTGGGGACAGGAATATATAAGGACAGTTCCACTTGGATTTGGGGTTGTTGTAGTTCATGCAGATAAGTTTACTTGTACGTGGAGTCATACGTGTATCACGTCGCATTCGTCATCCCGTGGACCGTGGATTAGTTATCGAACCTGAATTCGTTGTCATCAACATCTCGACCATCCGATCGCCGCTATTACTTACAGCCTCTTGTAGTACCCACATTTGTACCAATAAATATCAGCTATATCCGCGATGGTAAATTTGAGTGAAGGTTCATCGAACGCCCAATATTCTAACCCTAATCCGACATATATATTATGTAACGTGAAATTTGTTGAGGATACCCAGATAGAGATATAAAACTACAAGTAGGAAGTATAAATTAAATTAAATTTGATATGGTGGTTTGTTATTTCATGAACAAAAGTCATAGATAAATATACCATTCTCTTTGACATTCCATGCATTATATCTAGTTTCCCTTCTATATGAAATATACGTTGATTTCTACATCTGTATTAAACAATTATGCTATTATGCTAACAATTATGATTGCAAGAAATATACGCGTATACTACGAGATGTTTCCATTTTTTACTAAATGTAGATAGATGTTCCATTTTACCTTATGTTACGGCTGGCGTCACATAAACATTCAAATGACAGACGTTACGACGGACGTTGCAACGCTCATCTGGTCGCAGACGAGTGTTCGTTACGTTTATGGTCCACATAAGATACTTTAGTAAACGTTTAATGTTTACACCTCGACGTGAGACGAGGCAGCAGGTGAAACGGCCAAGTATAATGTATACAATCCACATGCTGCATCTACCGTTATAAATTTTCTAAATAAAAATTTAAAAAATGGTGAAGACTCCAATGCATTATCGGAACTTCGACACTGTTAAAGTTTCTCAAAAAATTTTTTCCAATTTTGTGAAAAAGGTGACATGTTCGCAGATTTATAATTGATCATAAATTGTTATGAGTTGTGAGGATCGTTTGGTCGTCGGTCTCTTGTCACGTGACAGCAGCTCATTCCGGCATCGCGGTGGGCAGAGACGCGGCGTAGCACGTGCTGGAATTTTGTCCGGCGTGGGAGCGGTCCCGCTACATCCTGCGGCACGTCATAGGCGTGAGATTGACCCCCTCGGCGATTGTAAAAGTGATGCTGAGCGGGCCACGGGAATACGAGGCTGTCCGCCTCTACTGCGAGCGAGTTATGCTCGCAAAGGAGCGAGCAGAAAGGGAGAGAAAGAGAAACTCTCTCTCTTGTAGGATAACGCGATGGTGGGGGATGGCGATCAGGGGGCCTAGAGCTGCTTCATCGCCGTCCCAACGGACCCCGACTAGAAGGGGCAATGGCTCCACGTAGCGCCAAATTCAACAGTCAGGGAATTTTTAGGACTGACTCAATCAAGAGGACGCGGGAGGGGGTGCAACAGAAAGTTGCACTGCTGTCACACGCGTAGGATGGTCATTGTGGAGTTTCAGTCGCTAAGAGTCCGACACTACTCTGCTATTGTCGAATATTAGCAGCAGCGGAGTGTCCATGAAGATTTCTGCACCTGCAAAAAAAAGCTCATTCGGAGCATATATCTAAGAAAACGTTGTACCGTTATCTAAGAAAACGTTGTTCCGTCTTGCCTTGCTTTGTCTGCTCGCTCCTATCACATAGTTCCTTATATCTGTTAATATACATATAATAACATATTTTGATGTATGATGTAGAAGGGGCTTTCAGAGCGTATTTTATACTTGGAAACTATCTTCGTCGATATAATACCATATAGATATGTTTGGTTTCAAGGAGGATACTATTGACTTTGCATGCACGATGTACCCCTGTAATTACCCTTATTTTATTACCTTTAATGTAATGTGGTTTGGCAGGGCTGTAGATTGTTGAGTCGTAGTCTACTTTAGATCAAATTATGTAATGCTTGGTAAAGGATCGATACAACTGCTCTCCTTCAGCTGTTGACAAAGACTACGTAGGCCCATACGCATTTAAATATATTAAGCAGATGGTTCGTTCCAGATTTATGGAATAGTTTTAAAATATCAAATCACTTTTTGAACTTTTTCCGGCAAATGTGTCTGCACGTGCGAATGCGGCGAAGAAGAGAAAGTGTCGCTTATAACCCGAAGGACGTACAAAATTTCATGCACGTGTTCTTTATGTTTGTTCCAAAGGACGTACCACTTCGTCACCACATGATGTTGCAGGTTGAAAGGTTAATAGCATGATGGGTAATATCAATTTTCGATTTGTTTTATGGATCCGATAGCAAATATAAATATAAATATTCGGTTACATGAATGATGCAGCGGCGTTAACAGCGATAAATTCTCCGATTTTATAAATTTCGATATCCCAAATTTTCTAATTTCCAGTTTCCGAATTTCCGAACTTCCGAGCTTATTAATTCTCAAAATATCAAACTTTTGAGTTATGAAAATTGCAAATATTCATAAGTCCAAATTTACGAATCTTCGAATTCAGAAAACAAAATTCATCTCTGTTTTCGCAACTTTGATGGAAATCACTCTTTTCCTAAAATTCCTGACATCCACCTTGTTCTTGGCATATTTTCACTTATTTGGATACTTCATCTAACTAACGTACGTATCTCGAACTTCTAATTTCTCATCGTAATAGTCTTCGTACTCAGTCATTGTCGATTTTATTGATTTTTTTTAAGATAAATTTTTACAACTCACAGTTTTTGCCATGATAATATTACATCCATATTACAAAATCATGAAAGGTTTTTCAGTACTTATATAAGTGCTTACGTAAAGAAGAAATAGCTTAGCTTTACCTATAAATTTCATGCATGGCGACGAAAATGATATGTAACTCTAAAAACACATTTTAAAGAAACGATCATACTCACGAACATTACAGCGACGCGAATAGATACCCGGTATCTTTGTAGTTCATCGACTGCGTGTGTCGAATAAGTCGACAGGTGCTCAATGCGTTTGAGTTTAACGCACACTTTCTAATCACGATTTTCGTTTCACTTATACTTTTGTATATTTAAAAAATCTTTATATTTAACAGGTATTTGGAACATTTCCCGTATATTGCTATATGTTTGTTATAATAATCACCATCATAAATACATCTACAACGAACGCGAAGAATTCAGGAAGAATTATGTTGCTTCGCTTCTCTTCGTGCACTATTATACAATCGCATAAACGGCATTTCGATTGTTGCGTATAAGAGAATAGAAGCACTAAAACTACAAACAGCCATTGTAACGAACAGGGTAACCTGGAAAACAGAATTGCTATTTCATAATACAATAGTAATATTACATCGAAATTGTCCAAATGAAATAGTTTCATTATACTTACAATGGTGACGTTATCAGCGTAGAAAGGATAATAACTTGAAGAAAAAGCCGAAAGTATAAGAATAGGATTTAGAAGATAAGCACCATACGTCAATTTACTCAAAACAACAAAAATATCTAGCGATAAGATTTTTTTCACGATACCTGCAAACGTATCAAATATATTTGGGTGTAATTTACAATAAGAAGAATGCCATTAACGCATTACTGAATGACATGAAAAATATCGAATTACCAGCATGGTTCGTAGTGCATACAACTACCAGCCAGGCTATACCCAGTGCCCAGCCCGTTCTACTGAGGGCCAAAGAAAGAATGGCTAAGTTTAAGGACGTGTTATGGTTCACGGGTGTAAATAGAATCGAGCAATTACATAGAATTGCCAAAGTCCAACCAAGGACTAAGAATTTCTAAAAGATTGGATTAATCACGTTATTGATAGATGCACAGAAATGTAACGACAAAACTGATAGAAACAGAATATGTTACTTTTGATAACCGTAATTCGTAGTTGCATTTGTTAAGAAGGTGACATGTAGCCATTCCTATGAGATGAGGAGATATTCTACACCACGGTCGTATATAAAAGTATGTCAGTGTCTTATATTGCTCATCCAACCTAGGAAAGATAATATAAGTATATTTACAAATTCTCTATGTTACAAAGAGTGTTAAACATTTTGTATACTAACGTAGGCTCGTAATTAAGAGTGTACCCCATATAAGCGACTGATCCTATCGATGAAACTAAGCTAAAAACGCCTAAGCCAATGGCAATATTGTAATGCCTGAAACAGTCGATTTTAGTGGCCGGGTAAAACTGGCCAATGAATGACTACAAAACCAAATTTCAAACTCACGTGATCGATAATATTAGGAGAAAATTACCAAATACGAAGAACTGCATATCATTGGGCAAGTACCAACTCCATGTGAGACACTGCAAACAGTATTTCTCTCCGAAACGATTCTTTCGTAGTAACGCGAACGATGTTTAGAATGAATTGCCAAAGAAAGTATACGTACTAGGTCATCCCAATGGTAGAAGTTGTTTATGTAAAGTATATTTGTCCACCAATATTTGGAACACTTAGCACTTGGATGCTCGTAGGGAAGAAGTGCTGAGACATGATCATGCCAGGTGAAATTTAATATCGCTATCAGTATAACGACGAAATATGCAGGTGTAAGCCTACAAAATTAATGTATTTATTTGATTAGCATCGTATTTGCATCGCGCATAAATTAAAACACAAAGACATATTAAAATCATCTATACCTAATATATCGCTTCATAATTATTTGAAAGAACATTTTCGTCTTTTCTGTTATAGACAGTGTTCCCTTCATTTTTTGTTGTTCCTTGAGAAAAATATAAGACGACAGAAAACCACTCATAAAGAAAAACGTGTCCACCGAAAACGTGGGATTATTTATTATTTCCATGAGTATTTCACCGTCCATCATGTAGTAAAGCGATTTGTTAGCTGCACACACGATTGGTGTCGTTAAATGAGTCGTGCTATATCAAAAATCGGAATGTACTAATGAAATTCAAGCGTGATTGTAGCCCATTTCTTACCCATAACATGAAACCCGAACATGAGCAAATGCCCGAGAATAATCCATAGCATTCCCAACACTCTCATACCGTAGAATACACGCAAAGTCTCTGTACCCTCTTGTATTTTAAATAGTGACCGTGCATTTCTGAGCAGCGAAAAACAGAGCAGATATTGATTCATGTGATTTTGTTGCCTTGATTCTAAGAGTGCCGATTCATCGTCACTGGCTTTGCATTTTACTTTTCTCACGTCCTCCAATTCTATTCAAAGTTAACCGTACGTTATATAGATTCCCGTGAAATAAACTCGAGGCGATCAGAATCCTTAACATGCAGAATACCAGATATCATTGTATGTATGGCTTACCCTTCGTATTTCCATTTTTAAGCGCAACGATTTCCTTTTCGCTGTTTACACGGTTTCGACGGGCGGAAATATCGTATACCGTGGCCCCTATAACGATAGTACACAACAACACCAAAACGCCTCTGTAATCAAAGTTTGAAAGTTTCTACTTGATATTCACGCCGATCGTGATACTTGTATTTATGTCTATTGAGAATAGAAATTCGGAGTGTCGATTAAGAGCTTGAAATTTACGTACATGATGGAGATTATCTTTAAAGAGAGAAGCCATTGATAATCATTCACCAAATCAGTGACTTCGAGGAGTCTGAAGTTTATGGCAAAAAGTTTTCCAATGAAAAGAGTTTCATTATGGATGACTTTATCTAGCATTGTAGCTACATCGTGTTTGGTGCAGGAAGCCGGTAGACAAAGTCCAAGTGTCACCAAATCCTAAAAGAAGCGTTCACCACAATCATAAAAACCGATAATGCAAATCTGATTTCATATGTCAATTGCGGATGATATCCACGTGCTTACGTCGTATGGCAATTCTTGGTGATATTGCATAGTGCTAGTCCAACCAAGGACTAAGAATTTCTAAAAGATTGGATTAATCACGTTATTGATAGATGCACAGAAATGTAACGACAAAACTGATAGAAACAGAATATGTTACTTTTGATAACCGTAATTCGTAGTTGCATTTGTTAAGAAGGTGACATGTAGCCATTCCTATGAGATGAGGAGATATTCTACACCACGGTCGTATATAAAAGTATGTCAGTGTCTTATATTGCTCATCCAACCTAGGAAAGATAATATAAGTATATTTACAAATTCCCTATGTTACAAAGAGTGTTAAACATTTTGTATACTAACGTAGGCTCGTAATTAAGAGTGTACCCCATATAAGCGACTGATCCTATCGATGAAACTAAGCTAAAAACGCCTAAGCCAATGGCAATATTGTAATGCCTGAAACAGTCTATTTTAGTGTCCGGATAAAACTGGCCAATGAATGACTACAAAACCAAATTTCAAACTCACGTGATCGATAATATTAGGAGAAAATTACCAAATACGAAGAACTGCATATCATTGGGCAAGTACCAACTCCATGTGAGACACTGCAAACAGTATTTCTCTCCGAAACGATTCTTTCGTAGTAACGCGAACGATGTTTAGAATGAATTGCCAAAGAAAGTATACGTACTAGGTCATCCCAATGGTAGAAGTTGTTTATGTAAAGTATATTTGTCCACCAATATTTGGAACACTTAGCACTTGGATGCTCAAAGGGGAGAAGTGCTGAGACATGATCGTGCCAGGTGAAATTTAATATCGCTATCAGTATAACGACGAAATATGCAGGTGTAAGCCTACAAAATTAATGTATTTATTTGATTAGCATCGTATTTGCATCGCGCATAAATTAAAACACAAAGACATATTAAAATCATCTATACCTAATATATCGCTTCATAATTATTTGAAAGAACATTTTCGTCTTTTCTGTTATAGACAGTGTTCCCTTCATTTTTTGTTGTTCCTTGAGAAAAATATAAGACGACAGAAAACCACTCATAAAGAAAAACGTGTCCACCGAAAACGTGGGATTATTTATTATTTCCATGAGTATTTCACCGTCCATCATGTAGTAAAGCGATTTGTTAGCTGCACACACGATTGGTGTCGTTAAATGAGTCGTGCTATATCAAAAATCGGAATGTACTAATGAAATTCAAGCGTGATTGTAGCCCATTTCTTACCCATAACATGAAACCCGAATATGAACAAATGCGCGAGAATAATCCATAGCATGCCCAACGCTCTAATACCGTAGAATATACGCAAATTCTCTACACCTTCTTGTATTTTAAATAGTGGCCGTACATTTCTGAGCAGCGAAAAACAGAGCAAATATTGGTTCATGCGATTTTGTTCCCTCGACTCT